AAGAACACTGGAAGTCTTTGAAAGAGATGTGGAAAGAAACCTGCATAACCAACCGTATTAGGGGGGAAGAAGAAACAAGACAAGACAAGAAATGGATCTCGATGGACACATGGAAGCTGATAGAGGAGAGGAAGATGGTGAGGCAGAAGATGAACCAGTCGAGGAATGAACAACGAAAAGATGGACTGAATACAACCTATAAAACACTACGCTGGACAAAGAAGTGAAGAAGAGTGAGCGCAAAGACAAAACACACTCCTACAACACACTGGCAAGTGAAGCAGAACAGGCTGCAGGTAGGCGAGACCTGACAATACTATATCAAATAACCAGGCTACTATCTAGGACAGAAAAGATCAACACAGATGAAAACAATGAAAGGTAGTAAAAGAAAACATAGTTACCAAAGAGGAGGAACAAAGAAAATGATGGGCTGACCAAGTCAAAAAACTCTTGAATTAACCACCACCACCACCACCACCGCCACCATCACCTACAACTTATCCAAAAATACTACCAGCAGCCCAGTCACAGAATTACCAGTGAACACATGGCCTCCGACAAAACCAGAAGTGAAGTCCTGAACGTCATAAAGTAGCTGAAAGCCGAAGAAGCAGCAGGACCGAATGGAATTCCAGCAGAAGCACTGAAGACAGACGTAGAGACAACAACGGACATGCTCTCACCACTATCGCAGAAGGTTTCGGAAGTGTTTGCAAGAACTAGAGTGGAATCATGCTCCTGTCGCTGTCAACCACAAGCAAAATATTAGGCCGTATTATCCTGAAGAGGCTAAAACACGGTCTCGATTCGAAATTACGACCAGAACAGGTTGGATTCAAGAAGAACAAACCATGTGCGGGTCAAATTGCAACAATACGCTACGCATCATAATAGAACAGAGCAAAGAATGCCAGTCAACTGTCGACCTCAACTTCATCTACTTTGAACAGGTCTTCGACAGCTTCGACCGAGAAATAATTTGGAAACTGCTTCAACACTACGGAGTACCACAAACCATTATCAACCTCATTCAACGGCTATACTAGGACGCCAGATGCCACGTGATTCACAATGGAAAGCTCAGTGATGCCCTTGAAGTGACGTTAGGAGTAAGACAAGGCTGTCGACTAACACCCATGATTTTCCTGATTGTGGTCGACTGGATCATGCAGCAAACAGTGAGGAGCGCGAAAGGGGGATACGCTGGACCGATGAGAAGACCCTAGAAGGTTTGGATTTCGCCGATGATTTATGTTTAATATCGCACAAACTAGAAGATCTGCAGGCGAAAACCAACAAGTTGACAGGAGAAGTAGCGAAGACAACACTTCTGTCAAGCGGATGTAGAGAAGACAGATGTGATGAAGATACACAGCCAACAACAACAAGCAGCAATCATCATGAACAGGAGAAACCTAATGGAAGTAGTCTCTCTCCCCTGCCTAGGTAGCATCATTTCAACTACAGGTGGCACAGATGAGGATGTCAAAGCCAAAATCGGGAAAACAAGACAGGCTTTTATTAATCTGAAACCAGTGTGGAGATCTTCTGCACTCAACATAAAGAACAAGATCCGGATTTTCAACACTAATTCAGTCAAGTCAGTGATTCTATGTGATGATTCAGAAACTTGGCGCTTCACGAAAAGCATTTCCAACAAACTACAAACATTCATCAACAGCTGCCTTCGGTCGATACTCAAGATCAGGTAGCCAAAAATAATATGCAACAAGGAACTCTGTGATCGAACCAACAAATAACCCATCGCCCAACAAATATGCAGAACAAAGTGGAGATGGATCGGGCATACACTGAGAAGACCGTTTGGGGACATCACGCGCCAGGCCATGCTGAAGAATGGAATCCAAAGAGGAAAAAACGAGTTGGGCGTCCGAGAGTGGCATGGAGGAGAACATGTGAGGAAGAGATGAAAGCTTGTGGGCAGTCGTGTAACCAGGTTGAAAAGACTGCAGAGAGGAAAGTGAAATGGAGACATGCTACTGAAGCCCTACGTTCCACTAGGAACCCAAGGGACAAATAATAATAATCAACAACATAGGACCAGTCATTACTGCGTAATGATCCGAGTTGCCACAGCTCATCTTAGTACATCAGGTAAAAAGGCAGTGAAGTGGAAGATGAAGATAAGAAAATTCAGTCAAAAGAAATACAAAGTACGGAAAGAGAGAAAGGAAGAATGAGAAAATGGTGAGATTAGGTATAACATCGCTAAGTGAGGATAATGTATGTATACATCTGCACTTCTGACATCGGTTCTGAGCCATATCACCTAGAGTTCCCAACCACTGGTTCCTCTTGTCCTGCGGACGCCAACCAGCCAGTCTGCATCGCCCCACATGGCTCAAACCAACAGTCAAGGACTTCATACATTGATGCCATGTTTCAGTCTGGCCACCTCGGGCGTTTTCCAGCCTGGACCTACTTCGGCCAACATTGTGTGATGAAGCAATCGGCGACTGGGCATACGTAACACATGTCCTAACCATCTCAGTTGATGAAGGTTCATAACCTCAGCAGATTTACCTCTTCTCCCTAAAACTCTGTACCTAACTTCTGCATCACTCACGTGCTGACACCACGGAATACAGCTTATACTACGAAGGCAACGGTGGTCAAACACATGAATCCTTCTCATGTCTTCCATCTTCAATGGCCATGTTTCACAGAGCGGACTGCTGTGCAGTGCACGTGACCCTTAGCAGGCAATCAGATATCACGGCGGCGCCATAGGTGACGTAATTTGGCGGAAGCCAGCCGAGCCTTTTGTATTCGTGCAGAGATTTCGTCTGCTACTGAGCCACCAGGCCTGATCCTACTTCCCAGGTAAGGGAAGTGGTCAACATACTCAACCATTACACTCTATTTTTAGCCGAGGCACTGTTAAAGACCAATCCCGGAGCAACAATTCGCATTTTGGGTGGTGAGAAACGCCTCTCAAACATTCCCAAATCGCCACTCAGTTTTTAGAAGACTCTGCATCTTGTCAGCGTCTTTACCTAACAGAACTAAGTCATCTGCATATTCTAGGTCTAACAAAAATTCTCCCACGATTGGGTCAATATCTGTGTAGTCAGGTGACGAGAGGCAGACCCTCATAGGAATGCCTATGATAAAATTGAATAAGAATGGAGACATTGAGCAGCTTTGACGAACACCACTCGACGAGTACAGCTCTTCGGACATCTCACCATAGGCTCTAACACACCCACAAGTGTTCGAGTAGAGAGCCTTCAATAAAGTGACGTACTTACTCAGCACGCCTTTCAGTGAGAGACATTGCCATAAGACTTCTCGATCAACGGAGTCGAATGCCGCCTTCAGGCCAAGAAATACAGCTAGTGTAGGGCATCGGTGAGCGTATCCGTGTTCTCGAGTCTCATGCAGTGTGAATATTTGGTCGATACACTCGCAGCCGGATCTAAATCCCGCCTGGCTTTCTTGGGCTTGCTTTTTCCGAGCTCCACTCAGGCGTCGGAGAATTATAGAACTTAGGATCTTAGATACTATGTCCGTCAGGCTGATTCCTCTGTGGCTATCACAAGAGGACTTCTCGCCTTTCTTAAAGACTGGAATAATCAGCGATTTAGACCAGTCAGAGGAGATTGTATTTGATTCCCATATACCAGTTAACACTTCCGTTAACCTTACCACCATCCTTGTATACCTCAGGAGTTAGTTGTATCCCTGGGAACGCTTCAATAAACCTCATGAGATCAAGCAAGTTTGAAATAGTGAGAATTTCTGGAATCCAATCAAGAAAAGTGAGTTATTAGTACGCGATCCAAGCTACCATGAAGTAATAGATATGAGGGCTAATTCAATTCGATCAAGTCGTTTTGTGTAGTAACACTCCTAAAGCCTCGATTATTTGCTTGGACCTAAGTCCTTATTATGAACGGATAGGAACCAAATCGGTTATTCATCAGTTTCTCCTACTGAACCACATTTCCACAGAACCATCAGCTTTTCGGAAGTTATACCACTCGGCAACCTTGCAGAGATTCGTGTACCAAGCCATGAGCTATACTATTCAACGGGACGGTTAGTTGTACTATATGACCCCAGTACAGCAATGGTCAAAAATCAAGAAATAAAAGCCACAACTCCCTCAACAGTAAACATTATTAAGTAATAGATTTTAAATCTGCATGAAAGAGGACTATGTGTAGCTGCTTCTACCGGATATGATAATCTTGCCTGTCCAGAAAACTTTTACGTATGGTACATCACGACACAGTAGATATCACAATTTCTTTCATAAATTTATCACACTACTCATTTTTAAATTGTATTATCAACTATTTTTATTCTTACTTCCTCCTGGCTTGTAAGACATTAACCCCCAATTCAAGACTACGAAGTTTGATCTGTTCGATGCAAGGAATTAAATTGAAGACAGAATACCAATGGTCGATACAGGTAGAGCAAATACCACTTCGAATTGCCGAACGAGCACCTCTAACTAGTATAAATAGCTTTCAGACACATTTCCATACATCAGCAAAATATACTTCAGATTTTACACTCTTTTGGTTAGTCCCCTCCATCACAACCAAATCATGGGCAGAACTTATGAAATCAAACAGATCTTCATGTCGAATTATTTTAGGAAATCAGTCGGTCATCTTGACGTCTCCGACGAAGTTTGTGTGTCGATACAATCACTTAATATGCTGCATGAATAAGATTAAAATATTGTACCCGGTAAACAGTTGTAACCGGCTGACAGAATTCAGTATCACAGTTAGTGGATAAACATACCATATGACACACCACATCATCTGACATGACGAGCGAAACGCATTCAGGCACCTTTTACACATCCGTGCACTAGGCAATGAGCCACACCTGTTTTGTGAGGGCTAGTGATACTACCTGACTGCCCAAACCTCGGTAGTTGGAGCGTGGCTCGAACCCATGACCAAATGGTTGATAGTCATCTCCCCAAACCGTTAAGCCATAGCCCAATCATTTGATAAGTGTTTAGTAATCAGTACCTTCTGGTCTTGAAACCAATTGGTTAACAAAAACGTACCGCTAGTTTATAAAAATCAAAACGACTGGCTTCATCAGATAATACAACAGAAAAATAACAGATCACCCTTGTACATGTATGTAGATATGTTGTATGCTTTTGTGTACACATACTGAAGTTGTCTCTTTGACAAAATATACCTGTCTTAAAAAAGACAAACACAGAAACCAGACCGAATTGGGAAAGAGTATGTGCAATGCATTGCACCTTGCTTAACACGCAAAATACTGAAATAGTACTATACACAAGGCGCTGAAAATAAAATAGCCAAAAAGATGAGCCAAGAGGCTAAAACAAAGTAACCAATGAATTGTTAGTAATTTCAGAGAACAATGGAAGGGGGTGCTTTGAAATTCACAAGGACTAGATAATGTCATCAAAGAAGACGAAAAAAGAGAGATATCGAGTGATGACAGTGGAGGGAGAATGAGAATGGTATTAGATACAGGGAAATTGATTTCGTTTTGTGAAGATAATACTACCATCCAATTCAAAGTTTTGTATGGAGATAGCAAACAATAACTTTTTCGTCTGCCTACATTCTCCTTTGTGGTTTGCCTCTTGTTATGACGATTGCGGTGATTATTTTAATCAGTTCAAAATTGTTACGATGAGATGTGAAAAAGTAAAATGACATTTTAAGGGGCAGTTAATCATTGTGACAGGTACAACAAAGACCAATACGGTATCGAAAGAAATGAAATGAAAACATTAGAAACCTTCAGTCACATACAAACAGGGTAGATGATTGCAATGAAGCAATCTTCTATATTTGCTCAACATATCCAACAATATAAACGGGAATAGTGAAGAAACATGAAATTATTAATTGTAGTGGTAGCAGTAATAACCGAAAGCCCAATCAATGTTATCATGTTGATAGAATTCTACAGTCAAATCTTATTAGCAATGTAACCGACTAATGCAACCAAACCCAGTGCTCCGACAGCACCAGTGGCGAGTCCACCAACGTTACGCAGTGTTCTCCAAATTAATTCTTCCCCATCATTCACAAACTGATTGCCAGTGAACTTGATTAATCCAGACTGTTAAGAAAGTAAAATAAAGCAGAACAACTATGCTAAATAATGTATTATCCCTTTTAACTGACAAAATTATTTTTCCGAAGTAAAAATTACTGCAAAAAATTATTTGGTTCAGATATCATATGAAGAAAATAAAAAGTGAAAAAATTTGGGAAAACTTAGAACGAGTATGCACACTAAATCCATAGGATAACTAAGCAGCAAGCATTCATAAAAACGGAGGCTTCTGCAGAAAACTGAAGTCAGACATGGGAACAAACACTTGTCATTCTGATAAAATGCTAAACATGGGTCACCTTGCCTTACCGACTGAGGATGGATGATTTACACTGCCTATGACTACAATTAATTGAATTAACTACTGTTTTAAACGACTGTGATTCCCAAACTGTTCTCACTTGATAAATGATATCAGTAATCGCATCAATTCTTATAATGCGTTCAAAATTTATTTTCAGCTTTCAGTACTACAAAAGCTCTCTCTGCTCGTTTGTCTCTTTAAATTGACAATCAGAGCACCATTTGAAGATTTATCTCTTCTTCTCTTTTAAAAGCACTAGGAAACTGAGAAATACTTGAGGAAAATGAGCAGAAATGTACATTAGTAGCTTTATTTGATATATCATACACTGAAGTAGCATTATTTACTGGGACACTTTGTTTTCCATAATCCTACCAAAGAATTTGATCACACAAGTTTTCAACTTCGTTCGCATATTTTAATTTTTTACCCAGTAAATAATACTCTATTACCATGTGGTATAATAACATGAACAACCTAATGTGTTTACCTTCTACACAGCGCCTAAAGTTTCGTTTTACATGAAGGTGAATATAAACTCTGGTTTTGAAGATAAAAGGTTGGCTGAATTTTTTCCAATAATCACAACTACGAAAGACATCAAACTGACAAGATGTGCAGTAAAAACATGAAGGAAGCGACGTTGCTAAAATACAGTCATGTTAAGTGAGTTTTTTTGTGTTGAGATTATGTGACGATTTGCTAAAATACACAACAAGTTTCAGATTATGAAATTATAAGATGCATAAACAGAAACAGATGGATAAAATCAACGTAGAACCTCGCACATAAGTGAATCAGTTCAAGTTGCCACACTTCAGAGTGGTACATAAAAAAAGCAGTGGATAGAAAAAGATTGGCATTAAAGTCGAAAGTCACGTGAGAGAATAAATAATTTGAAGATAAAAGTTAGCGCGAATAGTCAAATCTTAAAAGACGTCAAAGAGTAAATACGTCTGCGCCATTGTCACCGATTTTCAGCTGTCACCAAGAATCGGTTCTCAACCACTGAATCTTACCGCCTTGGAGCTCAGAGTCCCTAGCCTAGCCATAAGTAGAAATATAGTTTCAACAGTCGCCCCCTAAAATAACCTCTTTACCTCTAACCAATAAATAGAATGCTTTTGTGAGCACTAACTATCAAATAACGTGTTTTCTAATGTATTTTTTTTATCAGTACTTACATGTAAGGTACGAATTATTTTGGTACTGGTACACACTGATTTACGTAAGGCAATAGTAACACAACTAGCCACTTAAAAACTCATTCAATAAAGTGACACATTCCCTCCGACCTCACTTGATTTATTCGTGAACATGATAAACCGAAACATTTATTAGCTGAAAAGTGCTAGGGATCACTTGCATGTCTCTTAACGATCTTGTCGTTGCATCGAAGTTGTTGTAATACGTACATATAAAAAGTTTATCACTAGCCGTTAAGTGAGTTTCCGGCTACAAAAATCAGGAAGAAAAGGCATACAGTAGATAAATTTAGTTAAAACATTGACTTTTCTTAAAGATCAGAAAATGACTTACCCAACCATCATGAAGATTAATCCAGGTTTTCAATTTTTCATCACAGTATTTGCTCGTTGTTTTTATAAGCATTTGTATTGCATCACTGTGTCCATGTTTTGATAATCGTAAAACTAGTATACGTAAAAATGCAAACATTGCTACAACACGTCCCCAATTCACTTTTTCAAACAATCCATTTAAGATTTCAAGATAAGATATTTCCAAAGCGCTTATATCAACTGGTTTGTCTGAATCGATTCCTAGGCTTTCAGCGACTGGTTCTATTTCATGTGTCCGACTGAAGCGTTGATTAAAGTCCCTGACTAACTGGAGCAATGACTTTATGATTTCTTGTCCATTGGGGATACAGCTTAGTTCAGCATTAGTGGTATCACTTAAGTCAGTTAAGTAACTGGTATCTTGTTTGTTTGCACTGGCTAGCAAGAACGAACGACATAGTACGGAAGTTTGTAGTCGGAAATCCACAGCAGTGGACATATCCTGAAATGCAGAAGAAATAAACACGATGTGAAATTGAAAATATAGTAGTATTACAAATAAAATAGACTGGTTGGTTTTCGGAGAACTAGTTGGTTACCTAATAGTTTTCATAAACGACTGAAATCACCTGGAGCCATTCGAAAACTGTGAGCAATGAACAGATGTTTCATCCCGGTTTGGGACTTCTCAACAAAGTGTAACCATAAACCCATGCAAAACTGAGTCCAGGATTGACAAGTCCTGCGGAATGAAAACATGTATTTACTCACCACTTCGCAATCTAATGCTTTACAATCACCTCAAATGGCTCGACCACTATTCAACGGGCATTTGTTCCGAAGTCCAAACAGAAGAAATCAAAATAAAACCTCACACAATTGCATCGGTTTAAGTTGCCACACTCCATAACAGCATGCACAAAATAAGTGGGGAAAAGACCGAAATAAAAGTAACCAAAAGTGTATGGGAGGAGAAGGAATTTGAAAATGAGGGTTAGTTAAAACATTGAGGCTTTGAAAGACGTCAAAGAGTTAGTACATTTGGGTTACTGTGACCAATTTCTAGCCGTTTGACCAAGGGCCTGAACCATTGATTCCCATCATCTCAAGGACACCAACCAGGCAATCTACATCTCACACAGCTAAGACCACGATTCAAATATTTCATAGACTGGTGCAACATCTTAGTTTGGCCACCCTGAGCCTTTTTCCAAATTAATAAGAGGTAAGCAGTGGCCCGCCACACACGACATGTGCCTAAGCCAACTCAATGACTAAAATGCCTTCCCTGCCTATTATCCTTCCCTAAACCTTGACACAACTCGTATGATGATTCCAACAAACGCCAGTAATGCTACAAAGACACCTGTGATCGAGAATTGGCAGTCTTTTTATATCTCCTACTTTTAATGGCCATGTCTCACAGCCATATAAAAGGGCAGAACGGGATGCAGCGCAGTAAACTTGTCCTTTAATAGGCAGTCAGATATCTTGCCAGTGCCAGGAATGAGTCAATTCAGCGAATGCCAAAGAGCGAAAATCTGATCGATGCACTCTCTTCCAGGTCTCATATTTGCCTGCTTTGCTCAATTTTCTGTTCCTGAGGTCCATTTACGCGTCGGATAACTATGGTCCTCTTGATCTTGGACACGATGTTAGTTAAACTTATCCCCCTGTAGTTGTCACAAGAAGACTTCTCTACCTTCTCATAGACTGGGGTGGCCAGTAAAGTAGACCAGTCTGATGATACTACATCTGATTCCCATGAACTACTTAGTCCCTCCAGCACTAATCAGCAATTTCCTACCTCTATCCTTATAAACTTCTTCCCGGAACGTCATACGGTATACAATACTGCATCACTGTGTGCCATATCAATAAATCTCAATAAATCAAATTTCAATCCACTTTGACTTTGATGAACTGATTGAATGACTAAGACAATGTGGCCTGGAAACCGACTGTAACAAGAATGTGGTATTGCATATTGGGAATAACTACTCGTGAATATTCAGTGAACTGTCAACTAATACCTCAAGTTTTGGAACAAAGACTTCAGGGTTAAGTTAACCTAGAGACGACCGCAAATTGTAATGATTCTGCATGCTTTGGTTAGTTTGTAGAGCACTAAAGTGCCCTGATAAAGATATCTTTAAGATTCAATAAGCCAATTATGTAAGGACTCATTCAGAGCAGTATCCATGAGGTTAGTCCACGCTTCATAAAAGTCTAACTACCACTAACCTGCAACTTAACTGACGAATAGATGTCATCTTAATGTGACGATAGCGTTAAACCTCTAAGTGTTGATTATTTTGAGAGCTCCCCAAATAAAGTAAAAGAGTAACAAGTCATGAAATGTTTGCGGACAAAAAAAACAGATGAAACCACGAGAAAGCTGTCGTAAAAGTTATATGGTTCCAACTACAACAACACAGCACAATTCAATTATCTGAACATCTAGGCAATATATAGGAACAGGTGGAAATAAAGACCAAAAGTGCTTATTATTTTGAAAATGATAAAGGATTTATGTACTCCCACCATTTCAAGAGACCTTAAGCCACTTCACTTAGAAAGTAACTACCAAACCCTTGAGCGTCAAAAACGAGAAGCCTGCAATCGTAAGCATAACTCACACAAACCGTAGGTGACTTTAAGGATTGATACTACGATATCATACAGCTAAGCACATATAGGGTTTTTTTTTCCTATTTCGTTTTTCCCGTCTGTTGTAATGTTTCAGTTTTTGATTGTAACTGTTTTGGTTTTGTGTTTTACATATGCACTTTCGTTTCAACTGTACATTCACCTATGGTTGCTAATAAGTCCATTTGTAGACAACTTGGCTACAATAACCCCATTATATAGGGAATGAGATATGATACCTGTGGTGAATAGTTGCAGCAAGTATACGCCGGATTACCAGCAGACTGCAAACGACGTAGCAAACCTGGCCCTTCCTGGATATTCAACCTTTGTGGAGATCTCCTGATGGTATTGACCCAAGAGGCTTCAGAAAAAGTGTCTAAAAAACCTAGTAATCTTGACGACATCATGAGTCAGACAATGCCACAAATAGTCATGTCGACACAAATGAGCTGGGGATGTCGGGCCGGAAGAGGAAACCAAGATTTTCAAGATTAATACCAGTCTACCAACTCTTGTCCCAACGTCGTGGGATAGACCAGAAAAGTAAGAAATCTACCGATAACCTACCAAGTCTGGATGTATCACTAAGGGAGGAGCCCCGTACAATTACCCCACTAACCAGACCAGACAAAGATGGCTTTTCTGGAGACCGAAGGACATCTCAACCGAAGATATACTACAGGAGTAAGAGGTATACCTCCTTTTGATACTCTCCCTCGATCGAGGGAAAACTTCGGGCACACTTCGCAACTTACGACACTTCCGGGGGGAGCTGTAGATTTCAGAGAACATCGTGTGTCTCCCCATGTCATCCTGAAGTAAAATTCCCGGGTTTTTATTTAAAACTTACAAAGTATGCCCGAAGTAAATGCTGGTTGGGACTTGACCAACTGCAATTGTGGTTGAAGATGAAAAATCACGCATAATCAGAGCAACATAACCACCAAACAGAGAAGCGTAATAAGGTTTGAAGGAAGAAAATGAAACATATAAATATACAACGGAACTTCAAGAAATACCAAGATGAACGAAACAATAATATTGTAGCACTAGTCGTAAAAATAGCGCTTCTTTTCAACTTAACAACCCGTCGTCCACTATCTAACGCCAATAATGTGAGGAAGCTCGTACTTTTTAAGTCTTCGCTTCTAAATCTTGGGACTCTATTCTTTCGTCCATTTATACCCGTTTAGTGGTAGCAGAAGTCTTAATGTTTTTCCTGCTTACACCTTTAAAGGTAATTATTTTCTATTAAAGGTATTTTTGAGAGTTGTAGCGAGTGGAGAATGAGAAGGAAAGGAGTAAAAGGTACTCATTAGAAAAGTTGTTGCTGAAAAACCAATGTAGAAGGAATGGATCTCAATAGAGACACGCGTGGGGGAATGCATGGACGTGTATTGGTAACTTCAGTTGCTACCGATGGACTCTAGTGATAAGCCGTTCGCGCTCGCATGCTTATCCGTCAGTCGCTTAAAGGAGTCAGTCGATGTGTTTTTGGCTACTCCCTTCTGCGTAATGTTTCATAAGACACGCACCTTGTGTGAAAAGTAATTACATCTCACTCCTACTTTCAACAACGGCTGTATGAAATCGGGAAGCTGCTCGTTGACAGCGGTCATAGGTAGTCGCAGCTGGCAGAAATAACCCCTTGCTGTTGACGTGAAGACGGAACTTCGCTGCCTCGTCAAGGCAGGTGCAGTGGTTGGCGAACGTCATTGTAACACATCCTTGAATCTGCAGAGTGCTTACGGCAGGCAGGTTGCAACCTTAGCAATAAGGTGTGCTTACCCCAGCTTTGTATGATCTACCCGTTGCATGTGAAGCATGCCATCCAGCCCCTGACAAGCTCGGAATAGTGAAGACGAGTTTGATTATATGCTTGAAATGATCGTTATTCAACCATCAAACAGTCCATGGGCGTCGCCGCTGGATATGATTCTCGAAGAGGTTGGAGACGATCAGGGTGCGACCGCTGATTACCCGTGACCCATTGCCAGAACGACGCCATGCTGCCACCTGATACTTTGAATCTACTACTTGAATAGGACCTTGTGCGGAATGAATATATTCTCTAGGACTGGCCCGTTCAAGGTACATAAATTGATACCTGTGGCAGCGGGAGATACCTCGAAAGTAGCCATTACTACATCTTTTGGACTGCTTAAATCCCTCTGCATGTCTTTTGGTCTTCAGAATGCAGCATATGCATTCAAATACTTTCTGATGGCGTCCTTCTTGGTTATGATTTCGTTCATGTTTACACCAGTGACTGTTTCATTGCAAGTGCAGATAAGGAGACCTAGCCTAACCATTTGGACCTCGCATTCAGCAGACTACAAAAGCATGGCATCACAGCCAACACCCAGAAGTGTCAGATAGGAGTCGAATCATTCAGTTTCCTTTCACATGCTGCCGACAACAAAGGCATGTGCCTATTGACAGGCAAAGTGGGCTACCCAAAGCCAATCGTTGTATGGCAGCTTCACTTTCCGGTTGTTACTGGAGGTTAGTTTCAAACTGTGCCTCTCTTATGAGACCGCTCACGGATCTACTCAGAGGGAACAGAGCGTGCATGTCGCCGGATAACTCGCCTGGACTTGGTTTCTCCAAGGTCAGGGAAGCCACTGCAAATGCAACCATGCTCAAGCATCACGACCCCGATGCTCCCTTGATTGTTACTGTCGATGCATCTGACTTAGGAGTCGGATCGATTAAGCAACAGCTGAGTGCATTTTGGAGTGGGTAATACGTCTCAAATCGGGCAGTATTTGTCCCAAACACATACACACACATATATATGTGCAGGAAGACAGAGGGAGAGAAGGGGAGAGGTAGTACAAATCACGGATTGACATCGCTTGGAGAACCACTGAAAACCTGGGCACACTGGATAGCCGTCTCGTCTTAACATGGGACCCCTCAGCAGTACGCACCCGTGACCCGGCTGGGGATCAAACTCAGGACCTTTGGGTTTCACGGTGAACGCGTTAACCATTCAGCCACTGGATCTGTTTTCAGTGCTTCACAATTTCCAGCTTCTGTCACTTCACAATATAACGCAACTATTGCCTGACGTCCTCGGTGGGCGTCCGCTTCCCTTCCGACTGGTTGGCCCACGGGTCGCGGCTTGTCATTCGGTTTTTCTGATATCCATCTAGAAGGATATCACCAATGAATACTATACAGTAAGGTATTTTTGAGATGAATGAGGATTTTTAATTTAGTGGAAGTATTCATCACGGACCGATATCAGTTAGGGAACCATGGAAAATCTGGGAGCACTGAGCAGCTGTTTCAGTGGTTCCCCAGTTAAAGGAAAGGATGTTTGAATATCGTTATGTGGACCGCATTAGCTCTGTCAAGTTATTGTCAAAAAATAGCACATGGCTGATCTGATAACAGGGGCGCTCGCAAACGAGGTTGAAAATGTGTGCAGTTATACAGAAAAGTTTGTAAGGCCTTTAGCAAGGTCACGGGGAATACGTCGCGGTCTCATATAGATGAATGGCACTGCACATAGGAGAGGGGAGAGGTCACACTGAAAATTGCTGAGAGAATCCGAGAAACCGGAGCGTTTCTGCGTGACGGTTTGTCTCTTGCTGACTGAATCAAAAAACGAGAACCAGAGGGGGAAACAAAGTCACTGTTAGTGGCAGGAATGACAGACGTAGGAAGGGACGGGTTTCCGTGTGGTGAGGCCTCAGAAGCAAATGATGCCGAAGTATCTGTGGATAAGACAAAACTCATAAGGTTTTATCGTCTTGTGTACAAATGCACGTAGTCCCCTGAGTGAAGTAAGCATAGTAGTGAATAGGGAGTTTTGACACCACTTCTACCTCGGAAATTCGGTTCTTTTCTGAGATCAGTGATGGTGAAACGCACTTACGGGGATTCGTTCCTTTTACAAGTGATAGGTTGGCATGCAACGGTGGTGTCATCCTTTACAGTAAGAATACCTCAACTGTAAAACAACGGCTGCTTACGAAGATGAAACATGTGAAATACTGTGCTGCCGACTGAAACCCAAGGTATAAGATGACAACCTTACCGTAGTATGTCAGGCCCCTGAATGTGAGACAGAAGACCCCTCTGAATGAGCCGACCCAATGGAAAGATGGCCGCAAACGCCTGGCTGAGGCAGATCTCAACACACCATCAGTTGACTGGGACAGACTGATGACAGAAGCATCGTGTAGCTTGTTTGATCATAAGTTAGTGGAAAAAATCCCTCTGGCCCCCATACAGCACATTGCAGCAGCAGTCACATGCGTTAATCAGCATTCTCCGCCGGCTCTAGTCCTAATGTTCCCACATAAGGATGATGTTTGCTTCATCCGGCGCCTTGAACCCTTGGTAAAATTGGTCACGCTGTGATTGTCCTAAGATTCACGGCAGACGTCCTGTGACGGGCCTTTAGGATTTGTCCTGGTGCGAACTTGACAGACGCAAAGACCAATCACTAATTATTCGAACTTGTTATATACCCACGAATACGAGACCAAGGAAGAACACGATAGCGTAGTCGGATGGAATAGTATATTTGGATGGTTATGCCAAAATACCGATGCGTTCCAACTAACTGGCTAGAGAGTCGAATACGAGCAATGCAACGTAACACGACAGCGTGCCAAATGGCGAGGATGCTTGACCGGATGCCTTCAGCTTAGCGAGTCCAGTTAAACTATCAAGGTCAGCATCAATGTCGAAGTCGTCAAACCCTAGGCTATTGATTTTGGGGAAGTGTATGACGCTACAGATCACTCCCCCCTAGTGGGTTCGTGAGGACCCTAAGACGATACCAGCCGGAAGTAAAAACCCAGTGGTTTCTCCACTGGTAAAACTCTTCCGATGGGCTCACTGCGTGAGGTGGCCCCTGGTTGTCTGAACCTTATTCTAGGGTGTCGTGGCGATTAAATAAATAAAATACAATAAATGAAATTGTACGTCGGTCGCGGTCATCTGTTCCTTTCGACGTTCCGTCCAGTGCTCGTTGCACCTGGAATATAAATAAAAGTCTTTAATACCACGAAAACGTTGCGTAAAAATGGGAATTATTTATATATAAACGTGTCGAAAAAGAAAAATTTACGCTTATCTTCGCCGTTTTTTTAGTTTTTATTACATGGTAAATAAAAATTGATATAAAAAGGCAAAGTGTACGAGGGTTTGTGCATTGCCGGTAAATAAGAAAAATAGTGCCTCGAAAAAAAAAATGGTTGGCACACACACAGCTAAGTTGAATATGACTTCAGGTACTCTGGGAACCTGACGGTTCGACCTGATCGTGTTTTTTGTTGCGCCGCTGGTTGTTGCAGCTGTGCATTACCAGGCACATCGTCGAGAATTTCGATAATTGAGTCATCCGTCGGTCGGATGTAGCGAGCTGAAACGTCACTTACAATGGGGTTGCCTTCGAAATAAGCTGGTTTCAAACGGTCGATACTGACAGTATCTTCGCGTCCGCCTCGCTCAATTACATAGAATTTCTCATGTCGCTTAATCACTTTGAACGGCCCGTCGTAGGGTGGTTCAAGTGGTCGACGAACAGCGTCGTGGCGAACAAACACGTGTGATGTCTTCTGTAAACTGGGGTGGACGAAAACATCAGTCGTTTGCGGTCTAATCGGAGAAGGCCTAACTGAACGCATTGCGTTTGTAAGCCTAGTCACATAAGATGCCCTATCGGAAACATGTTTGAAAGTTGAAGGGGAAACAAACTCACCTGGTAGGCGAAGAGTGGTCCCATAGACGAGTTCTGCAGGAGTGCATCCAGCATCAACTTTCAACGCGTTACGAATACCTAGTAGGACTAGAGGCAGAGCCTCGGTCCACTGAGGTATGTTTGTAGCTGAAAGGGAAGCTTTCAGCTGTCGATGGAAACGCTCTACCATGCCATTTGCTTGTGGATGGTAGGCTGTCGTTCGGAACCGAGTGCAACCTAAAAGTGCCGTTAGAGCGTGAAATAGTCCGCACTCAAATTGGCGCCCACGGTCGGTTGTGACGTAGGATGGACATCCGAAGTTCGCGATCCATCTTTCGACG